ATTCCAATTTCAAGATTTTCGAGCAGAATAAAATATTAGGTGTTGATCCAGTTTTATTGAATAGGGCTAGATTTTTTTCGATCATATATGTGTCGGCCATAAAATATTCTTGAATTTTAGAGAGCTTCAAAATGATCTATTTTCCCCCTGGATTTTCGAAAATTTCCAAAAACTTGATTTTTTTACTGACTTACTTCACTCACACTCTGTTTGATAATTATGTTTTAATAATTTTAGTTTGAGTAGTAAAAATGTCAATTTTTAGCTGCCAGCTTTTTGTAATGCTGTTTTCCGAAGTAGAAGTGCGAAAAAATGAAACCCAGTAGTTTGGGAGATTTGATCAATTTTGTTCAATGTTATTGAAGATATTTTGACAAAAATGTACCGAAAGGAAGACTCATGTAAAAACCAACAAAACTCAACAACAATGATAATTCATCCAAAGTTATGGGGATTATGTTCTCAATTTTGTATGCCAAAAACTGGCTTTTTATATTGAAATCAGCCTAATTTAGCTATCAGAGAGTGGAATAGAATTTCACTCAAATTTTTTTTGGCGTAATTCTTTTTTGTCCTATTTGAATTGGGTTGAATAGAAGCCTACTTTTTGTCAAGATAATTTTTTCTTAAACGTTTTTTATTAATTTTTGATCAAATAATTCGAGCCGAAAAAGACCCATTCTATGTATCAACTTCTGTCTTTGTCTCGTTTTGTCGAATATCAACAAATTACGAAAAAAAGCGTTTAAAGTTTCCAATTTGTTCGTTTTCAGAGGATTAAATACATCAGCGTTGTAGTTTTTACTGATCATAATTACGCTTGTGATTAGCAAGCGTTATCAAATCGAAATATAGACTTTTTTCGGGCTAGCAACTAGTTCATTTGAATCATTTGCCGTTGATATGCTGCTGAATCATTTGACTGCAGTTAACATGCTACTGACATGCTCAATTTTATGAAAATTCAAATTTAACTACTGGATGCAATGATTGTTACTGGGAACTTTTTCAGTATTAAATTGGTTTGCTTTACCGGCTTCATGATTTTCGTCCCAACTTTTATCGGCCTACTTGCCGGATGTATTAATTTTTGATACGTTTTCTTTTCAATTGTTTCAATTGTTTTGACTTGCCTTATAAAAAATTCAAATTTAATCTACCGTGCAGCGCATCTGGCGTTGAGGTAACACATACGCTTGGGACGACCAAGGCATGGGGTTTTAATACGGGCCGGGAACTCTTTTTTTTAAACTAGAAGCTTTCTGTTCTTTCCTTTCGGACTGCCGTACGTCTGTTTATTTTTGACGGCTTATATCCCGTATCACGAACTTTCTCTGTTTCTAGATGCAGATTTCTTTTTTCATCTTTCTTTCTTGAGTCACAAACGTTTTTGCGGAAATTTTGTTGCGGGTTTTTAAAATTTATTGAAAATATTTGCTTTGTCATTCAATGTGCTCGAAAAGGTCTGGCATTTTTTTCTAATGTTAAAACCAATTCCACGAGAAACCCTTTAAAGAACGTAAGTAAATTTATCTTGAAAAATATTTTTTCATTTTTCTTTTTTTTGTTTTTCTACTTCTTTTTTGAATTTCTTTGTTATAAGTTATCTTTATTACTTCTTGAGGGTCATGCTGTTTTAATTCTGTTGTATCGCAAGTGGTGCGAAGCTCAGCTTCGCCTCCGTGTTGAAATTGACGTTCTGACTGGTCGCCATATTTCCTCTTTCAGAATAATATAGCGAAAAATGTTGTCATATTGGAGGTGATCTCGTCATACATCTTTGAATATTGAATTCAATTGAGAACTATAGAATAAATGAATTAAAGGCAGAATGTCGTATTCAAATGTCCGTTGATTCGTTCAAGTGTTTTCAGAGCTACCAGGTTTGAGTAAGTTTCAGATTGGAGTATGGCTTTCAAAGTGGAGTTTGTTCACTGTATCAGTAAGCAGTTGTTGAATCTGCATTGCATGCTGCTGGGAGGACAGTCTTTCAGGTATTCATTTTAAGCGGGGCATTGAAAAATTAATTTTTGGCAAAGAACAAGTTCTCTCCTTGAAAAGATTTTTGATGCATGTCAATCCTTAAAAGGCTTAAAACGATGCAAGTTTTGCTTTCCAATTAATTAGAGTTGCTTTAGCATGAGGAAGTTTTGAAGATTTGGATTCCGAGGAGACAGTTTGATAAAAAATATGATTGATAACTAGAAGAAAAATGAAAGGAATTACTGAAATTCTTTTTAAGTCATATTCATTAAATCCTTTATTACACAAGCAAAGCGTTGTGTGATAGTACGATGGAATTTTTTTCCAACCTTAGTCGCAAATAAAAAAAGCTACCTTTCGTTGTAATTTTGACAATGTGAAAATGCTACTTTTGGGGCTCTTTTTAAGCAGAAGGCAGCATTAGCAGTTTAATACTATTGACGTTTGATTAATAATAAGTTAAGACCGTTGATGTTTTTTTAATTCATCAAATGAACGGAAAAAAGTTATGTTTCATGTAGCAGTATAATAATTAAAATTCCGTTTCAGAAATTTTCAACTCAGTCGATTTCGTGAGATTTTTGAAACACTCAATTTGGCTTTACATTTTCCAATTTGTTACATGCTAAGGCAGCGTGATTGGCTTTAGATTATTTATTTCCCAATTATTGCATGCTAATTTTGTATTTTTGTGAAATTTGAAGTTCCCTTTTGGCGCTTGGTTTTAGTTTTGCTAAGATTTAGTGGTAAATTGTATTGGGCAGTCAACTGGACAGACATTCATTTTCGAGGACTCAGGATTAAGTCCCGTAGATAACCTTTATATTTTAAAAATCAAATATTGTTTGCTTGTGTTTGCGAATTGCAACTTCGCCGCTGCGCCCAATTTGATTTTCATGAAAACCTTGTTCAATTTGAAAAGTTGGGTGTAACAAAGAATGTGATTCATTCAATGATTCAATCACATTGAAAGTTTTCAGTCGTAATTTGAGATGCATTTAAAAAATTTCTAGAAACTATTAACCATAGTCAAGGCATTTTTTTCTAACGTTAAAAACCAATTCCATGAGGAACATTTTAAAAAACGTCAGTAAATTTATCTTGAAAAATATTTTTTCATTTTTCTTTTTTTTTGTTTTTCTACTTCTTTTTTGAATTTCTTTGTTATAAGTTATCTTTATTACTTCTTGAGGGTCATGCTGTTTTAATTCTGTTGTATCGCAAGTGGTGCGAAGCTCAGCTTCGCCTCCGTGTTGAAATTGACGTTCTGACTGGTCGCCATATTTCCTCTTTCAGAATAATATAGCGAAAAATGTTGTCATATTGGAGGTGATCTCGTCATACATCTTTGAATATTGAATTCAATTGAGAACTATAGAATAAATGAATTAAAGGCAGAATGTCGTATTCAAATGTCCGTTGATTCGTTCAAGTGTTTTCAGAGCTACCAGGTTTGAGTAAGTTTCAGATTGGAGTATGGCTTTCAAAGTGGAGTTTGTTCACTGTATCAGTAAGCAGTTGTTGAATCTGCATTGCATGCTGCTGGGAGGACAGTCTTTCAGGTATTCATTTTAAGCGGGGCATTGAAAAATTAATTTTTGGCAAAGAACAAGTTCTCTCCTTGAAAAGATTTTTGATGCATGTCAATCCTTAAAAGGCTTAAAACGATACAAGTTTTGCTTTCCAATTAATTAGAGTTGCTTTAGCATGAGGAAGTTTTGAAGATTTGGATTCCGAGGAGACAGTTTGATAAAAAATATGATTGATAACTAGAAGAAAAATGAAAGGAATTACTGAAATTCTTTTTAAGTCATATTCATTAAATCCTTTATTACACAAGCAAAGCGTTGTGTGATAGTACGATGGAATTTTTTTTCCAACCTTAGTCGCAAATAAAAAAAGCTACCTTTCGTTGTAATTTTGACAATGTGAAAATGCTACTTTTGGGGCTCTTTTTAAGCAGAAGGCAGCATTAGCAGTTTAATACTATTGACGTTTGATTAATAATAAGTTAAGACCGTTGATGTTTTTTTAATTCATCAAATGAACGGAAAAAAGTTATGTTTCATGTAGCAGTATAATAATTAAAATTCCGTTTCAGAAATTTTCAACTCAGTCGATTTCGTGAGATTTGTGAAACGCTCAATTTGGCTTTACATTTTCCAATTTGTTACATGCTAAGGCAGCGTGATTGGCTTTAGATTATTTATTTCCCAATTATTGCATGCTAATTTTGTATTTTTGTGAAATTTGAAGTTCCCTTTTGGCGCTTGGTTTAGTTTTGCTAAGATTTAGTGGTAAATTGTATTGGGCAGTCAACTGGACAGACATTCATTTTCGAGGACTCAGGATTAAGTCCCGTAGATAACCTTTATATTTTAAAAATCAAATATTGTTTGCTTGTGTTTGCGAATTGCAACTTCGCCGCTGCGCCCAATTTGATTTTCATGAAAACCTTGTTCAATTTGAAAAGTTGGGTGTAACAAAGAATGTGATTCATTCAATGATTCAATCACATTGAAAGTTTTCAGTCGTAATTTGAGATGCATTTAAAAAATTTCTAGAAACTATTAACCATAGTCAAGGCATTTTTTTCTAACGTTAAAAACCAATTCCATGAGGAACATTTTAAAAAACGTCAGTAAATTTATCTTGAAAAATATTTTTTCATTTTTCTTTTTTTTTGTTTTTCTACTTCTTTTTTGAATTTCTTTGTTATAAGTTATCTTTATTACTTCTTGAGGGTCATGCTGTTTTAATTCTGTTGTATCGCAAGTGGTGCGAAGCTCAGCTTCGCCTCTGTGTTGAAATTGACGTTCTGACTGGTCGCCATATTTCCTCTTTCAGAATAATATCGCGAAAAATGTTGTCATATTGGAGGTGATCTCGTCATACATCTTTGAATATTGAATTCAATTGAGAACTATAGAATAAATGAATTGGAGGCAGAATGTCGTATTCAAATTTCCGTTGATTCGTTCAAGTGTTTTCAGAGCTACCAGGTTTGAGTAAGTTTCAGATTGGAGTATGGCTTTCAAAGTGGAGTTTGTTCACTGTATCAGTAAGCAGTTGTTGAATCTGCATTGCATGCTGCTGGGAGGACAGTCTTTCAGGTATTCATTTTAAGCGGGGCATTGAAAAATTAATTTTTGGCAAAGAACAAGTTCTCTCCTTGAAAAGATTTTTGATGCATGTCAATCCTTAAAAGGCTTAAAACGATGCAAGTTTTGCTTTCCAATAAATTAGAGTTGCTTTAGCATGAGGAAGTTTTGAAGATTTGGATTCCGAGGAGACAGTTTGATAAAAAGTATGATTGATAACTAGAAGAAAAATGAAAGGAATTACTGAAATTCTTTTTAAGTCATATTCATTAAATCCTTTATTACACAAGCAAAGCGTTGTGTGATAGTACGATGGAACTTTTTTTCCAACCTTAGTCGCAAATAAAAAAAGCTACCTTTCGTTGTAATTTTGACAATGTGAAAATGCTACTTTTGGGGCTCTTTTTAAGCAGAAGGCAGCATTAGCAGTTTAATACTATTGACGTTTGATTAATAATAAGTTAAGACCGTTGATGTTTTTTTAATTCATCAAATGAACGGAAAAAAGTTATGTTTCATGTAGCAGTATAATAATTAAAATTCCGTTTCAGAAATTTTCAACTCAGTCGATTTCGTGAGATTTTTGAAACGCTCAATTTGGCTTTACATTTTCCAATTTGTTACATGCTAAGGCAGCGTGATTGGCTTTAGATTATTTATTTCCCAATTATTGCATGCTAATTTTGTATTTTTGTGAAATTTGAAGTTCCCTTTTGGCGCTTGGTTTAGTTTTGCTAAGATTTAGTGGTAAATTGTATTGGGCAGTCAACTGGACAGACATTCATTTTCGAGGACTCAGGATTAAGTCCCGTAGATAACCTTTATTTTTTAAAAATCAAATATTGTTTTCTTTTTTGCCTTTTTTAAAGCTAATTCTTGACATTTGTTTGCTTGTGTTTGCGAATTGCAACTTCGCCGCTGCGCCCAATTTGATTTTCATGAAAACCTTGTTCAATTTGAAAAGTTGGGTGTAACAAAGAATGTGACTCATTCAATGATTCAATCACATTGAAAGTTTTCAGTCGTAATTTGAGATGCATTTAAAAAATTTCTAGAAACTATTAACCGTAGTCAATGAACTATGATTTCCTTCTTTTTTGATTTTATATATTGCCAAAGTGTTCTAGAGTTTTTCAGGCGAGAAATCTGCAGGACTCTTCTAGCTTAGTTGAATTTCTTTATAAGCACATAAAGTTCCAGCTAAAAGTTTTGCTGGTTTGAAGCAGAGGTATTTTTATGCTTGAGACGACAAAGTTCAGTGATTCGAGTCTGACCAGGACCTGTACTACTGGAAATTGAACTTTTTTGGCTCTTTTTGCGCTCAAAGATGTTTTACTGATGTTAAGATCATTTTTTTACTATTCTAGAATGCGATTTTAAGTTTTACTAATGGTGCAGGTTATATACACTTGCGAAGCAAAGTGTATTAGCACGAACTGTTTTTTCCAACCTAAGTCGCAAATAAAAGAGCTACTTTTGGTGGAACTTTTGAATCGGTAGGCTGTGGTAGCAGTAAATTATCTTATGTGCTTTGACATTTGATTAGTAAAAAAGTTAACGCAGCTGATGCATTTTAAATTCATCAAATGAACCGAAAAAAGTTGTTTAGCAGTACAATGATAAACAGTTCGATGTCAAAATTTTTCCAACTCTAATTTGGCTTCATGCTTTCCAATTTATTACACGCAAAATTGTGTCTTTTTGTATTTTTTGCTGCATGGAATTGGCAATTTATTGGCGTATGTAGCTGCATTATTGGTGGCTAGTCTTTGGGGATTTTAAAGCATCCGTGGCTAGTGCAGGAGACTCAAATTTGCTAGGTTGCAGATTCGAATCCGACACCTAGCCGAGTTTTTGCTCATTCGAGGCTTATTTCTGTTTTTTTTAGAGCTGCTTTTTGGTCGTGTTCTCGCAAGTGTTTGCGAAGCGCAGCTTTGCCTCTGAAAATTCTTACTTCCCTGCTTTTGTCTATTTAGTTTGCGCGTAAACAAAAGAAATCATAATAATCTTTTTCAAGTTTTGTCAAATGTCAACCCAATACGAGAAAACGCATTGAAAATTTTCTGTTTTGTACGTTTGGTCTGGATAAAATAAATCATCAAAAGCTCTTCACTGGTCATAGTTGAAGATGAAGCATTTTTATTAATTTTTTACACGTATCAAATCAATGAATTTGCTCACATATCTTAATTTATTTTAACTTATCTTATGTCTTGCTGATAAAAACTATTGAAAAAATAATTTTTCCTATTTTACTTTTGAACATTTTAACTCTTTGTGTTTACTTTTTTACACTAGCCGGCAGCGTAGTCTTTTAGTAAGAATTTTTTGTTCTAATCTCAATCGCAATTAAAAGTGTTTACTAAAAATGTTCTCTTATTTGGTGGCACTTTTGCTATAATCACGATCTGTAGCATTAGAAATTTCATAGCATCTCTTCTCTGCTTTATTTTTGGCTATTGTTTGTGATTTATTAAGCGTGCGTGCGTGCGTGGCTGAGTGGCTAGTGCGTGGGACTCATAATCTCTAGGTCGCAGAGCTCTTCGGAGATGTAGTCGAATTTTTACTAATTTGAGGCTTATTTCTACTTTTTCGTATTGCACTTTACAGAGTTGCTTTTTGTCGTGTGCTCGCTTGTGTTTGCGAAGCCAAGGTTCCTCTGTGTGAAATTTAGTTTTAAAAAGAATAGAAAAAATCGCAGTTTTTACATATAGTTATTTTTTTGTTTATATTCTTTTAAATTTGAGCAGCCAGAAGCCTGGCCTAATTTCAATTATTCAAATTTAATCACCATATGATTTCTAGCAAGCTAAACTGCCACTTGTAGCACAATTCAAGCGTTACTGCCATTTTTTTCTTACCCTGCGATGACGCATATGGTCGAACTTGCTTTGCTAATTTCCCATCAAGTAGCTATTCTTGTTTTCATACGAATTTTCTGATATTCGATTTAGATAAGATGTAAATTGGTCTGGCCGCTCGTGAGAGGAGCTCTTCATACAAAAGTTCGAAGTAAACTATTGGTATTTAGTAGATAAATTTAGCTGACGCGATCTGATGAAGAAATAAGCTACAGCATTCTTTGAATCAAAATAATTTACTGTGGATGCCTTTTCCCTTAATTCAAAATATTTCTAACATCTGTAATTAGTAAGAAGGTCATGTTTCTGAATGAATATCCACCGTGTGCTACTTCAAATGTTGTAGTGATTTTTTTGAGTTAGCATCGGTTGAGATATCTTGAAAACTACACATATATAAGAAAACGCAAAAAATCTGTTAAATGCAAAACAATTTTTTTCCCATTAAAAGAACTGAAAATAAGTTTTTTTTTCTGAATGTGGTTCAATATTTACTGCGGAATTGAAACCTTATTTTAAGGCCGTTGCGATTGATGGTTTTGGTTTTGAGTTTTGGACTGTTTTTCAGATGGACCGAGAAAAGGGATAATTGCTTCATGGGAGTTGTAAGGAATTACGTTGTGCAGATAGAACAGCATCCAACAAAGTGTCGCTTCAGTTTGAGCTCCAACGTCAAAATGGAAGAGTCTGCCGTTCGTGCTGAATTGGAGGATTATTTACAACTAAATTTTCCAATCGAGGATTTCTATAAATTGTGGTGCCAACGAGATCCAAATCACTTCGAGAAGGTCTGGCAAGCTTAACATCAGTCTAGCTATTCATATCTCTGTTAATATCAGGAATGTAAACCTTTGCTACTATTTTGAGCGTACATTTCTGGTTGACGGACTCAGGGTTGTTTGTTGGTGCCATTTCCACTAAATTTAGGTGGTAAAAAATTCGTTTCAAAAGTTTTTAGTTTCAAAAATTTGTTTCAAAAGGGGCAAAATTGATTGAAATTCATCGGAAAAATTATTCAAAATCTTTCAAAACATTTGCTTAAGTTCATTGTGAACAGTAGATCATGACAAAAATTCGAAAGATAGGGCTACATGACAAAAGATGGTATCTTTTGTCATGGGTGATTTTGGAAGGTAATCTTTGCCCTGACATCAAACGTAGTCTTTGGCCGCACATTGTGTCTGCTCTTTACATGGTCTGATTGCTGCTGTTTTAGAAAGCACGCGCTTTGTCTGGTGTGAGGATGCTGCGCCAGGACCCATTTGAAAATGTCATTTCCTTCATATGCTCTCAGAATAACCATATATCCAGAATATCACAACTTGTCAATAAAGTCTGTGTACATTTTGGCTCGTATATTACTACAATCGACGGACAAGATTTCTACGCATTTCCAAGTTTAGATGGTGAGTGAATACGAAGTTTGGACACTTGAAAACTTGAACTTTTTTGAGTGCTTCAAGTAACGATTATTTTAATAACTAATCTAATAAATATGGCTTTTGATTTGCAGACCTTCTGGAAGTGAAAGATCTTGAAAAGAGGTTGCGGGATTTGGCATTTGGATACAGGGCAGCTTATGTCTCCAAAGCTGTTCAGTTTCTAGCTAATCAGCAGGGATCGAAAGGGGGAGGAGGTGGTGAGATGTGGTTGAACCAGTTGAGAGATGTATCTTACGAAGAGGCAAAGACGAAGCTGCTACAGATTCCGGGCATCGGACCCAAGGTGAGGTTTATCCAGAGCATCGAAACTAAACCGAATCCAGATATCTAGGAAGAATAGAAGAATATACGGATCTCTTTAACTATTCCCCCGCCCTCTATGGTACCTAGTAACGAATCATATTAACAATATATATTTAACGGTTAAGTATATGTGAATTTTGCACGTAGTAACAGATCTATGTTTCTAGGTTAAGTTTCGGATAAATTACCTCTCATTTTATAGAGAAGTCATTTCCCACTTTTTGGTTCACAATAAGAACATGATTGGATTTTGCTCGATGTCACGCGATATCGCGCGATGTCATATCACGAGATCAGATCTCAACAGGCGGTTAACTTTCCATTTATATAGAAGTTGATTTTCTACTTTTTTTATCGCTCTCTAATTAAGCTGTTGGTTATCCCTAGTTTTGCTGCCAACCTGTGAAAGGTTATGGGCCCAGCTGCTAAAGCACGTGTCAGAAGTCAAGATTGACTGACTTAACAAAAAGATTTGAGAGATCAAGCTGTAAATTGTTGACACCGTTAAAGTCACAAAAAAGACAGCCGAGAAAAAAGTCACTAAGTGAACTGGCAGATAGACAACAGAGCAATACACAGAGTCATTGAGACAGGGCATTGAGGCAATTCAGTGATCAGTGAAGTCTGGAGTCACAAGGAAAGCTGAAAGAAGCACGCGACAGAAAGAGAAAGAGAGAGAGAGAGAGAGAGAGAGAGAGAGAAAGAAAGAGAGAGATAGATAGATAGATAGATAGAGAGAGAGAGAGAGAGAGAGAGAGAGAGAGAGAGAGAAGAAAGAAAGAAAGAAAGAGAGAAAGTAACAGTGATAGATAGAAATTTGATAAACTCAATTGATGTGGTGTTTTATAATTTTGTAGATATTTGTTGTTGCTTGGGGGATCGTTATCCGTCGCCGCAAGATCTTAACTCCAACCTGATTTAAAGAATAGAAGTTCCACAAAAGAAAACACTCCAAAATGTCTATTTTGCTAATCATGAGATACATGATTACTTATATTATGCACTGCGATGTTTGCTGATATAATATAGACTGAATTTTTGTCGTTGAAAAGTCCGTGGAACATAGGGTATTTGTTCAGAGCAATAGAGTTTAGGTGAAAAATGTCTAAGTCAGAGAGAATAGTGTTTTCAGTAGATGAAGAAGATTTTTTGTACTTTGCAGAGCAATTTGAGGCTAGAATTTTTCATCTCAAACTGAATAAAGTTATAAATAGAGAAGTAGATGAGAAAGATTTTGCACCCAGTGTTAGGAATAATGCTATTGTACAACAGAGAGAGGCATCTTTAGGAAAGTACATCTTAAAGGGAGGCATCTTTAAGGAAAAGAAATTTTTGGTGTAAAAGAATTGCATGTTAGGTATGAGTTGGTCCAATGTTTAGACAAAAAATCTGTTTTGTTTTCAAGACTCTATAAATGCAAGGGAAGTAAGGCTTGGGAAGTTTTGTGCAAAAGGTTCAAAAGCGCCGAGAGACCGAAACTGCAGCAGTTCATTTCAGATTTAACTTCGATAAGATTGAAAGCTTATGAGAGTGTAGTCGATTATATCTCTAGAGCTGAAGAGTTGCAGTATAATTTAGATGAAGTAGACAAGGGTTTAAGTGAAAAGATTTTTGTGTCAATCATTCCTTAAGGCCTACCAAAAGAGTTCAATACGTTTTGTACTTTGGTTAAGTTTAGCAAAGATGATAAGAGTTTGAACGAAATTAAAAAAGACTTAAACTTTGGAAGTGATCATAGGAACAGGATGGCCACTTGGTATCTTTTTAGATACTGGTATCTAAAAGTCACTATTTGGTATCTTTTTTTACGTAAGTATCTATTTTCAGACGTGAATGGGAAAGTGCAGGGCAACCAGGACTCTCGTGATTGGCTTCTCCTGGGCAAGACTTGTGGACGGCGAAGACGAGTTTGTGGAATGTCAGTTGGACAAAAAACGAATCAATATCAGCAATGGGCGATCTCGACTGACGCAACACGAAAACTCAGATGTCCATAAGTGAGTGAACTCTTGTCTTGACTGGTATGATGAAAAAACAAAGCAAGTCGTTTGTGTTTACACATCAACAGATTTCTAGTATTTGACTGTTTAGGTCGAAAGTAGCAGCTCTCAATCGGCAGCCAACTTTGCAGGCATCGCTTGTGCAACATTGTGATGTCCAAACGGGAACTCGCAACGCGGTGGCATTGCACGTTTTGAGTCTTGTTTTGAATAAACAGACATTTTGGTCTAGCGACTCTGTTAACCGCAAACGATCTAAGTACAAGAAAATGTTTCCTGATTCATCATTCACGTCTCTCAACTGCGGAAAAACCAAAGCCAGTTATATTGCAGTACATGCACTAGCTCCTTACGCCCGAGAGCAGTTTCGGAACCTATACAGCGGTAAACTTTTTGGGCTGCACGTCGATGAAACAACTTATAATAAAAAAGTGCAGAAAGACATCTCTTCTACCAACGATGAGCTCAAAAAAGCAAAAGAGCTGGTCGAGCATCTGGAAAAGAAGAAATCCAAGCTTGAAGCTGACCGCGATTCAGTTGCTGTTTCGTTTGTTTAGCGGTGTCTGAAAGTGTCCTTTTTTAAAGCAAAATTTAACTTGGTTACTTTTTGGTATCTTTTTCAGGAATATGAATGAGGTATCTTTTTTATTCCCAACCAAGTGGCCACCCTGCATAGGAATGAGAAGGAGGAGACTGAGCCTTCGTTTATTCCTAGAACAAAAACATGTTTTAGGTGCAATAAAACAGGATACATAACAGCTCATTGTAAATCTAAGTTAGTGAATAAGGTTAACCAGTCATCAAGTGATAGACCTCCTGTGAAATGTTTCAGGTGCTTAGAAATAGGACACATAGCTAGGGATTGTAAGAAGGCCTTTGAGAGAAAAAGCGTGAGCGAAGACCAGCAGTTGGGTGAAACAAATGAAAGTTATTTTAGCTTTTACAACTCAGCCGAGAGAGTCGACGGTGACCTAGTTATAGATTCAGGCGCAACTTGCAGTATGAAAAAGGATCGGAATTTATTTGTTGAGCTGGACCAGAGTTTTAGCGAAACTGTTGAAAACGCTAACAAAACAGAGTCTAAGGTTTTAGGTAAAGGAAGAGTTGAGTTTTTTGTAAAAGATTCTCAAGAAAACTCGAAACAATTTTCAATGAGTGATTGTTTCTATTGCCAGAAAACTCCGAAATTTTAGTGTCTGTCTCAAAACTTACTAGAGGAGGAGCTAAGGTAGTTTGGAGAAAAGTCATGTATTGAGCAAGGATATGGGACCGTTTATCCATTTAGGGAGCGAGGAAATCTTTTTAATTGGAAATTAATAGGATTTAGAAATCACGAAAAATTAAGTGTTGATAAAGTGGAAAACAATTTTCCAGAGTTCAGAGTCAATAAGATTTGTTTTTTCAGAAAGACAGAAGAGAAGATTGAGAAATTTAGTGAGCAAAATGAGAACTTGATGATAAATGACGATGATATAATGAAAGAGGTTGAGCTGAAAATTGAGTCTAGAGACCATCCAAAAACTAAAACGTCATTAGTTGAACCAGGTAAGGAGGAGTCGAGAAACTTATGCGAGGTTCACAAGTTTCAGAGTATGGACATGAAGTTAGATTCAAAGATAGGGGAGAGTGAGAAGTTTGAAAGCAGAGCAGGCAAATTGATCAGGATATTCGAGCTAGGACAGAAAAAAAAGTGATATTGCTCTCAACAAACATCGTACGGGACATGGTTAAACTGAACTTCCAGACTACTGTAGGCTAAGATGTAGTTCTTATTTTGAAAGGAGGATTGTTAAGTTTCGGAGAAATGACCTCTCACTTTATAACTTTATAGAGAAGTCACTTCCCACTTTTTGGTTTAAAAAAAGAACATGATTGGATATCGCACGATGTCACGCGATATCGCGCGATGTCATATCACGAGATCAGATCTCAACAGTCGGTTAACTTTCCATTTATATAGAAGTTGATTTGCTACTCTTTTATGGCTGTCTAAATAAACTGTTGATTATGTTGATTATACCTAGTTTTGCTGCCAATCTGTGAAATTTTGCACCTAGTAACAGATCTATGTCCTTTTGCAAAAGGGGCATACTTAGAGAGATCCAAATCTACTTTGATTTTGTTCAGTTGATAATTAAATGATTTAAACAGGTGAAAATCTTAAGTTGAATTGTTACGTTAACGTCTAGATCGAATGCTCCATTGTTTATTGATCAATTAATCAGTTTATTGATCAGTTGCGCCATTGGTCCATTACCCCATTGTTTATTCAACTTTTTACAACTCTCTGCTGGCTATGTGTCTCTCATATATGTCGGTTTGGGCTCAGTGGTAATTTGTATGTTTATAGCATTGTTTTTAACTGCATTCTTCTACCAGTATCTAGTAAAGGAGTTGAACACGCTATTGAGGATGCACCACCCTTGAAAGTTTTCCCTCTCGGGCTATCTGATATCTGATCCGCCGAAAATTCTCTTTCACCAAAAGAATTCTCTCTCAAATGAGGTCCGAGTACAGTCAACGCGTTTCTCAACGCGTACTTTCTCAACCTTTCTCAACGCGTACTTAAACTGGATAGTACCCAAACTGCTCCCGCTGGCCATCCACCGTTCCCATCTCAATCTTCTTAACTGTGTCCAGAACACAACCGTTTTAGACCCAATAGACTTGTGGCTTCTCCGATGGAGGTCGCGAACTTTCTGGGGCCCAGTTTAGGCATGCTGGACGCGACACTCGTGGCTAAAAACTATAACAACAACAACAACAACAAAAAAGGAGTAGTTAATTTTTTTGTGCCTGCAGGTGTCTGACTGTGTGTGTCTGATGTCTCTGGACAAAACCAGTGCAGTACCAGTGGACACACATGTACTGCAGATAGCACAGAGAGATTACAGGGTGGGAATGAACAAAGGGGGAGGGGGAACGAAGGGAAAAGGAGGCAAACTGCTCTCCCTCACTGTCAAAAACTATCAAACTATCAGTGAGTTCAGAAAAAGGAACATATTCTAACTCTTATTTTTTTCAGAACATTTAGCGCGATCTGCTCCTTGCAGCATCGCTGGTTCTGCGAATTTACTTTTTAAAGTAGCGACTAGTAATCTGAATTAGAATAGGATATGCTTGATGCCTCATTTTTAAAAAAACTCAGTTCCAAAACCAGGTTCCTAACTAGAATCGGGTTCTTTGATTTTAGTATGATATACTGGAATTATTTGTTTCTGTGTTGTGATGGGCTGGAGTGATATTTGGAAATATACAAAACTTTCACTTTTGTATTTCATGGGTTATCATCGTCCAAAGCAATCTTTCAAAAGATATAAGCAGACACCGCATGTGTACGTAACTTGGATTGTGGTTTTGTTTCAGCGGATTTCTTCCACGAGTTATTTGGCGACTACTCAGGATGGGCTCATACGGTGAGTCAGCTTACGAGAAAAAGATTAAAATTCAGTTTAAATGAAGTACTTTCAAGGGTTCCACTCGTAATAAGCTACAGAAAAAAATTACAGCGTATTGATAAAATTTTACGCTTTAATTTATGACTTGCACAACGAAGGAAAACTGGAAATTACTGGTGGATAAATTAAATTGTTATAAATTCAGCGGTATCCGTGTTATTTAATCAGCAGAATTGGTTGATGTTTAATTTTGCCAGGTCTTGTTTTGCTCTGACCTGAGAGAGGTACCTGGCAAGAGGAAATTGGAGGAGCAACTGGGCAAAACTGCATTAAAGACAACTGTAGAACCAGTGAAAGAAGAATTCAAACCCAGTGATGGAAAAATTTTGAAAACTGCAAGTGATGAGCAAATTTATGGATAGAGGTAGAGGTGATGTTTTTTCTTTGTGTTTTCTTATTCTATTAATTTACCGCAAGTCAAAACAGTACTTTCATTAAAATGAAAAATTATACAATGATTGAAAACAGACAAACATTAAAACGCCCTTCAAATCACACAAAACAATGATCAACAGTGACTCGTTGACTATGAGGAAAACACCAATCATTAGATTAAAATCGCTCTGCTTCACAAGCTTAGTTTTTCTTTACATTTGAGCCTTAAGTTTTTAAATTGTCTGGTACCATTTTTTCGAGTGGCCAAAAGATGGATCGGTCTAAGGCATAACATATTCCAGTCCAGCATCTAAAAGGAGTTTGGTTTTTAACCATTCAATATCTATGACTGAAACCAGTTGAAATGGCTGAAAGAATATACAGGGTAAACTAGCCATTGTTTTGTTCTTTTCTTCATTCGTATACAAACATCTCGGAGATTTGAAAGACCCGTTTTTAGGAACCAGAGAGTTTCAATGGTTTAATTTTTAAAGTTTAAATGAGTGAATTGAAGACACTTGTTGGGGTTGTGTTGGGTTGATTTGTTTTCAAATGCAAATCAAACTCATTTGCTAATAGGAAGAGAATTACTCTCCAAGTACGAAAGTACAAATGGTGCGAAAAACCTGATCGTGAATTAGTTTCAAAATTGATTTTAATTTTTACACAAGCCAAGCGTAGTGTGATGGTGCGACGCTACTTTTTTCCCCAACCCTATTGCAAATCAAAATGTTCATGAAAGTGTTTACTTTTTGGCTGCACTTTTGCTATAATCACGATCTGTAGCATTGGAAATTCAATAGTATCTGTTCTCTGCTTTATGTGTAGCTAGTGTTTTTGATTTAATAAGCGTTCGTGGCTGACTGGTTAGTGCGTGAGACTCATAATATGTAGGTCGCAGATCAAATGCAAGACGTAGCAGAATTTTTGCTACGTCGAGGCTTGTTTCTACTTTTTCTTATTCACTTTATAGAGCTGCTTCTGTGTGAAAATTTTGTTGATCTGCTTTTTGTCAGTTTTGTCAATAGCACTAGTTTTAGTTATCTTTGGTGGAATTTTTTGCTCCATAGCAGTGGCAATTTTTCATGATCTATGGCTGCATCATGGTGGCTAGTGTTAGAAAAATTTCAATGGCCCGTGCGGCAGATCCGAGATTGTGAGACTCCAAATCTCTAGGTCACAGTTTTGAATACGTCACAGTTAATTCGAGGCTTCCGTCTTCTTTTTCTTCTTTCATTTTTAGAGCTGCTTTTTGTCGTTTTCTCGCTTGTGTTTGCGAAGTGCATCTTCGCTGCTGTGTAATAATTACATTTCGGAGTGGATAACCAAAAAATACCTAGTATGCATTTCTCTCTAATTTGGTTAATCTTAGCAAAAAAAGTGCGTAACATCAATTTAATTTCAAATTCGAAAAGCTTCAACATGATTTATTTTGTCTCCGAACTGCAGAAAAGTCAGTATTGTTTTCGGTCTCATTGATTTCACTGACTTTTTTTCCAACTCTATGTTGGCTATATTTACAAAAAAAGCTTGTATGATAGTATGAACTCTCTTTTTTTCCAATCTATGGCGCAAATATTGTTGCGACAAAATGTGTTCATTTTGAAAGTTCATTTTGATCAATAACCAGCTAATGAGAACAGCCAATGCTAAGGATGTTAGCGCAGACTATTGTATTACAAATAGCACTTTAGTTTCAAGGTATCATTGATCTGTAGCGTAGAGGCAGGGAAGGAGACCCGCAAAAAATTAAGAGGGTTCGAACCTGTGAAGGGTCGGATGTTTCAAATGAACTTTTTCGTATACCAGTTAAAATGCGTCCGCTCTATAAATTGAGGAATGTCAGTTGATAAATTTCTTTTTTTTTTCAAATGACTGGCACTGATAATGCGTCATAATTGGCTTGCGTCACTTAGCAATTGTTTAGACTCATAATTGAGGTGCTTCACTGGAGAAATTTTTTCCCATAAATAACTTTAGGCACAGAATGGCGAACATTAGAAATGGTAATTTTAGATTCACTTTGTAATTGATTCTTATTTCTTTGTGTCTCCTGCACACTTGCCTGGAGGTAACGAATACGCCTGGTACGGCAAAGATCCTTGGTTCGAATCTGACAGGACCTATTTTTTTTCAAACGGGAAATATTCCATTTCACAAAAAATTGTCGGTTCATAATTTGCCTGCTTATGTTTTGTCGGCTTAGTTGTCATATTGTAGTATTGTTTTTTTTAGATTATAGTTGCTTTAAGTGCTATTTACGTGCTTTAAGTGCTCTGATCTTTGTAATTTTACTAGCCTTGACTTTTACGCGCCTTTAGTGCTCTGATGTTTGGAATTTTACTAACCTTGACTTTTATGTTTTCTTTTTTTTCGCTTAAAAACTTTATTCTGCCCAATTGATTTCGACCCATTTTTTGATCGGCTTTGTGATTTAATGTCGATTCGTTTCAAAGAAAACAAAATTTTTATGCTCACCTCTAGATTGCACAAAGTTCTAAAAATCTTAATAGAAATTCTAGTAATTTTTCCATGACAACAATTTTTTTTTCGGCTTTTTATTCTTTTTCCCTTATCTTTCAGCTTGATAGAATTTGGCCTATTTTATATCGGTTCAATGGCCATGATTCGTCTTTCCTCGAGCGAAAAAAAATGTGTTTTTTCGTGTCTGTGTTTTGAGGGTGAGGGGTTTTTTGATTTTTGTTTTCGCTTAAAGGGTTTCTGCTATGGTATTTTTCGAATTTGCTACCCTTTGGTAACTTTTCTTCCGATGCTTATTTCATATTTCATTGTCTTATCATGTTTTTTTTTTAATTTGAAAACGAATCTTATTTTTTTGATAGATCAATTTTTTTCGATTTTTTCTGACTTTTCGGCTTTCTTGTTTTGTATCTCAAGTGGTGCGAAGATCAGCTTCGCCTCTGTATTAGAGATGCTTTTTAGATCGTTGTAAATTTGTAGGTTTTTAAATTAAATTAACTGACTTTTAATTTTTTGAGACGCGAACTTTTCAAGACGAGTGACTAAAATAGATTTTTTTATTTAACAGTGCGTTAATTTTTTCTCCTCTCTATTTTTGGTAGATTTGGCCAAATAGTAAAATAATTCAAATGGGTTTCCTCAGTCTTGAAATGATTTTGACTGCTTTTTTGGATTCCAAATACAATTTTGTCTGAATATTTGTAACCGCAGAAACACATTTGTCTGAGAGCGCATGGTCTCTGCGGTGATTCAATGATACTTTGAGATGTGGCTAAATATGGATAGAAATTGATAATTGCATATGCGCCATGTCATGTTTTCAGTTTTTGAAACGGCGTGGAATGAAATATTGTAGGAGGTATGGCATTATCATGTGTTGTTTTTGCCAATTGAGAGTGTATTTTCGTAGTAAACTCTGTAAGGATGGCTACCCTTGCGATAAGCAAGGGTATTACAATCGGACACTAAACTTTTTCCCCGTAAACAACTTTGTCCACAGGATCTTCACTTCTTCTAGAGGATCTTCATTTCTAGAGGACCTTTCATATTTAAATAAAACTACTATCGCTTAAGTAGTAATTAGTTGAAGCCCGCTTCCGGCTTTGATTATCCTTCTAAAAAATTTTCCTTCCTGATACTTCACAAATTTATAAATTTACTATGTCTGATTTGATTTTTTTTTTTAAATTATTTAAACAGTTTTAGTTTATGTTATATTGACTCAGTCAACTTCTTTTGCGTAATTTTTCGTTTCTTATGAACACTTTTTCTATCGACGCATATTTCAAAATAATTTCATGGAAACTCTTCTCAAAAGATTCAACTTACTATCAGCATCAGTTTGCATATACTGTTTTGGCCTATCTGATGTTTCACTAATTTTCTGGATTCATCGGCTGAATACTTTTTTTTTATCGAAAATGTGTTCAATTTTTACAAGATCTTTTTTGCTTGTGCCGAATTACATTATTGTTAATATAGCAAGGTGTTCACTTCTTATAGGACAGTCAAACATGAAGGTATCTACTGTTTTCAACCGAGAACTTAAAGTGTTAAAGTCAGACCTTAACCGTGCTTCCACCTCATTGGTAAAAAAGCAGTCCTCCCCTTTTTTTACTTGGGTTGTCTGAGCCCCTATTCGAAGGAAAGCCGAAAATGTGGTGGTTGTATGTCTCAAAGCTGTCCTTACATGTTAGTCATGTTAACCGAAAGACACAGTTGTTTACCCAATCATTTACCAGTCTTTTTATCTGAACATGTTTTTATTGAGATTTTGACGAATTACATGAAACAATTTTAAATTCGAAAGTTAGGCATTTTTTGAAAATATTGGCGTATGACAGCACCGGACATGGATTAAGCTCGGCATTTCCGGACATTATGAATAAAATTTGGGTTAAATTGGTTGTTTTAACTGAAGCAAAACTTAAAAGAACACCTATTTTATAAATCAATTTTAAATTATCAATTGCGATTTGCAAACAAAAATTGGGTTTGCAATTAATCATCCCCTTAAATTTTAGCACCCGTACTTTATCATAGTTTTTAATTTTCTCATCCAGCAGAATACTAAATTCTCAATTGTTTTTTTTTAATTTTTATTATTTAATTTTTATTATTTAAAACTACGAGGACATCCTGTTCAAACAGGTCCGAATGGTTATCTGCAGGTGTAGGTAAATCATCAAAAATCTCCACTGCAGCCTTGTTATGTTTAATCACTTAATGTGAACTAAATGTGAACTTTCGGCTTTTCTTAGGTCGTGGAGACCGGGAAAGTGTGAATTGCGCTGTCCTGAGGAAAAGGTTTGCCTGTTGTTAGTTTTGCAATAATGCTAGATGATTCTAAAAACAAATTAAATTGGTCACCCTAAACGGGATTGGGTCGAAATCTCCTAACTTCTCAGCAAACAAACCTTGTTGATATGACGATGTAGGCGGCGCTCTTTGATCCATTCCACATCCAGTTTCATGTCGTTTTAATTCCTGCTGATACTCAGTGGTAACATTTTCAATAAATGCATCTTTTGATTCAACTTGTTGGTTTAAATCAATGTACATTTTAGGATATTTTCTTGTTCTAGGTTTTGCCACTCGTCATAGGATACCATATCAGAAAAGGAATTGTATGCGGTTGTATTTGAGGAAATGTTAGAATTATCAGGGGACATTATTGTTTTTAATCGTATCTAATTCTTCTATTTTTGAAAAGTTTTTGCTATTGTTGAAAATGTTTTTGCTAATTAAGCAATGCACAATCGGTCAAAGAAAGGTCAAATTTTCAAAAAGTTGGAAGATTATTGCCAAAGCAACTGACCTCAATGTTGTTTTTCTCAACGGTCAGGAACTATAATAAGTTGTTCCAATTATTGTGTTTTTTTTGTACGATTTATGAAACATTCCGCGCTTTATAACAATAGAGCTGCAAATTGATTAAAAAAATTTATAACATTTACGGATAACCGTACACTCCATTCTTCGAAATGAACTGCCGTTGAATATCCCCTTCAACGGGTAATGACTATCAAAATTCAAACTGTATATTTTTGTATCTTGGCGACGGGATCAAATTATTGTTTCGACCAATCAAAATGGGTAGAAACTTTGTATTCGGATGTGTTTTTGATTTATGATTTTGATAGAAATTGTTAAGCTGTATAAATCAACGCTAATTTTTTGAAATAATTGGATCACAAGCTTTCTTTACTTGATTTAACGTATTCAGAGCAATCAATAGAGTTCCCGCTGATAATGTGCTTACAATGTTATAGAATGACATAAACGAACAGGAGATCGCAATACAAATAAAATCATAAGTAATCAAATGAAATCAATCACAGTAAAAAAATTTAAAAATCACTTCATTGAAAAGTTTGAGCAGATATGGTTATAGCTGCATTAAAAACATATCATCCGCCAAATATTCAACTAGAACCAAGACATTGATCTCAAGTAATGTTCTGTTGCATGGATGCAGCCTCAACTACACTACTTTTTTGTTGTATTTTTCTACAATGCAACTCAGTGTTTCTTTTTTCTGTTATATCTGAAAAATACAGTGGCGTGCGCAGAAACTTTTCACTTTTGAAATTTTTATGTGCGGACCTTTTTTTTTAGGTCGACCAATTTGATTTTCCGAGTTCTCCGAAAATACTACAAGGACCCTATTTTGTCATAAATTTTTTGCGCCGCAAGTAAATTTTTCAAAAAACAAGCCAAAAAAGGTGCCTTTAGAAGAATTTTAAGCTTGGTCAGCCAAAAGTGGATGTCGTTAAGTTATGCAAAAGGGGGACCCTTTGGAAAAAATTGGCAACCAAAATTGAGGAGGGTTGGGGGCGACCCCTTCGGCACGCTTCTGGAAAAATATCATTTTATCTCCCCTAAGTCGACGGTCTCCCTTAACTGTACGGTTGATCCATAAAGATAACACACTAATAGATATCATACTAAACTTTTAGTCTAAGACAAAAAATAGTTGTAGGTCCATGAATTTTTCACCGCATAGATTTAATTGAATGTACATGTGTTTATTTTAGACAGAAGCGTGGTGAAGGCGGTACCACTATCATTACCATTGTGTCGTCGAAATTTTCTGGGCCAACGCTGCAGCCAGAACCTCATCTCAGCTGTTGCTTGAATGCATATCTGCAGAAATTACATCAAATTATGATACTTGGAAAACACTAACAAAGGGACTTGAAATTCTACATCGAACATTTGAAAAGTGCGTCATTCCGAAACCGAAATACCTTGCTTTCCTAGACTGCCGATCGCTTTGTTAATATGACATAATATGTAAACTCCGTAGTTTCAAATGTATAATGTGGGTTAACAATATGCTTGAGTAGTTTGACTGTGAATTCAGAAGTTATTTTGGACTTTTTGAGAGTCGATGAACGTAGTTAAGATCATTTAGTAAAAGACTTAAAATTTGTTATTTGTTCGAACGGTTTCCGCGGTTTAATTTTTGATTATTTTTAAGTTCAGTTCATTTCTTTTGTTAAAAGAAAAGCAAACTCAACTATCGAAATAAAAATTTTACGGAAAAAAACTTTACCTTTTGATCCAGTTTTCTCAAATTGAGTCAGTTTTTATCAAAAATTGTCAAAAAATTGAAATTCAAAGAATGTTGAAGCTATATATATTTTTTACTTTGAAACTCGAAAGTTGAAGTTTTTTCCTTAAAATAACTCAATTTTTCTTTTCTGTTTCTTGGCGTTCATTGAAACTTCTCCAGCTGTCTGAAAAAATTGAGTTTTTGCATTTTGAAGCTATTGGATCTTAGCGGCTTTCTCATTCGTGTTAGCGAAGCGCAGGGTGACCATTTTTTTGAGAGAAAAATAGTGACTATGACAATTTTCGAATTTTTTGTCGACCTTTTTTTTCAGGTCCGCCAAATTAGTTTTTCAAGCTCTGCCAAAGCACTAAAAAGTCCTTGTTTTGGCCAAAATTTCTGCGCCGAAGGCATAATTTTGAATAAACAGGCTGAAAAAGTTATAGGCACTTTTTGAAAAATTGTGAAAAAAATTGCGTTTTTTCGGCGCGCGCTCCCCCCTCAATATTAGTATATATTGGCGCCAAAGGCACCTTTAGAAAAATTTTAGTGTCCGTCACCAAAAACCGTTGCAATAGTGACTTTTAGTGACCATTGAAAAAATAGTGACCAATAGTGACTGGTCACTAAAATAGTGATCAAGTGGTCACCCTGGCGAAGCGCAGCTTCGCCTTTGTGCTTAACTAATTCGTTTGAATATCTTTCTTGAACACCTCTTACCATAGACAAAATCAGGCATTTGTTTGTTTTATTCTGTTTCGGTAGTGTCGAAAAAATTTCGGAAAATTGAACTATTTGTTCTTTTTTGCAAATAAATTATTTGCCATATTGAGGGCTGAACATTCTCTGCTGAAAGCAACTGCCTATTTTCCTAGTCATTCGATTTTCAAGGATAAGAAACGTATCAGTGGCATATCCGTTGCAGTCAGTAAATATTTAATGACGAGTAAAAAGACCAACATAATATACGAGCTGCTGCACTTTTCCGCCAAACTAGATCAATCTGTGATATCATGATTGCTGTCATTAAACTTGCGAAGCAAAGTGTCTTAGTACGAACTTTCTTTTGTTTTCCAACCTAAGTCCCCCTAAGTCGCAAATACAAGTGATACTTTTGGTGGCACTTTTGAATCGGTAGGCTGCGGAGATATAATATCATATGTGTGTTGACATTTTATTAGTAAAAAGTTAACACAGCCAATGCAATTTGGAATTCAGAACAATGATAAATATTTTGGTTGTATGCTTTCCAATTTTTTACATGCAAATTTGTGTCTTTTTGTATTTGGTGCTACTTTTCCTGCATTAAATTGGCAATTGATTAAGCATATGTAATTGCGTTTTTGGTGGCTAGTTTTTGGAGACTTTAAGCATCTGTGACTGAGTGGTTAGTTCGTGAGACTCAAGTTTGCAAGGTCGCAGATTCAATTTCGACACGCAGCCGAGTTTTTGCTGATTCGAGGTTTATTTCTAATTTTTCTTATTTCACTTATTAGAGCTGCTTTTTGATCGTGTTCTCGCAAATGTTTGCGAAGCACAGCTTCGCCTTTGTGTCAAAAATTGTGAGCTATATATGAGCTAGAGTTGTTGTTTTTGTTGGATAAATGAAGTTTAACACAGAGGCGAAGCGGAGCTTCGCACCACTTGCGATTCAACACAAACAAAAACATTGGCAAAAAAAAATAGATGTTGAAAAAAATTAGATTAACCAAAATTTTCGTATGTCTCAATAAAAAACACCTGGGCACAGTTAAAGTTGGAGGTACGAATTTGATAGTGGATGAATTTGCTATACTGATGCGGCACGTAAAGTGTCATTTCAAAAATTGGACTTTTCCTAAAACGTTAATTGTTGCTCTACTAAAAGAAGTGAGAACTCAATTTTCCCAAGAAGAGAACATCTGTTTTATAAAAGATTAAGGAGTTGCCGCTTTTTCAGAATAATAACCGGTTGAATTGAACTTATCATCTGTGATTTGATTGCGTAAATTAAAAAATATATTCTAAAAAACGGCCAACAATTCTAAAAAGCGGTCAAGAGACTTTCCAAAATCCTTTACGTTTTTATGTAAAAAGTAGGTTATGGCTGCTTAAGATTATCAAAGCCGCGTTTTTTGATTGAACACAACTTGAGAATTGGCCGGGTCGTTTTCGCGTAAAGTCAATAAGTTTCCAAAAAATTGCCAAAGGTTCAAGACTTTGTAAAATAGTTTTTTTTCTTATACAAACCAGGTATAGTCAGTTAAAAAGCTAAACGTTCAATAACGTGCTCATTCGATTAAACTTATGATATCAGATTCTACAGAATATTTAGCGAGAAAAGTCCAAAACTGGTCCGCAAGTCAAAACTGGCATTTTCGAGAATCATAGCTTTTTGTGTGAAAAAACTATGCGTGGCTGCTGGTGCAGAAGATATTCACGCAACCTGTGGTTTCGATTGAACTCAAATTTTCAGATTACAAAAAGTTACTTTTCGAGAACCAAAAATTTACAAATGGTCAAATCAAAATTTTTTCAGGGCCACAACTTTCGGTGTTAAAAACAAATTGGGCGTAGTTGCATCAACAAATAAGTTTCCAATGACCCGTTCTGAGAACTGAACCCAAAATTTCAAAATTGGCAAGGTAGTTTTCGAGAATAGTCGAAAAGTTTAAGAAAACAGTCAAACAATCTTAAGAAAACAGGAAACTTTTACTTTTCCAAGGGCGATATTTTCGTGTGTAACAAGAGTCAGCTAATGCAGAGGAATTTTCCACTACCCGTTATGTCTATGGAACCCACAATATCAGATTTGAGAGCTTAATTTTCGAGAGGTTAATTTTCGAGAAAGGGTTAAATTTCGATACAAAACGGTCAAAACTTGAGGACGATCAGTCAAAGAAATCTTTTCAGTTTCTTTCAAGTGGAATCACCGTTCATCGCTTTTTATACAAAAAAATTTTAAAAACTTTTTTTGAAAAAACATCAGCTAAAAAGTCCCTGAAATAAATTGAAATTTTTGGAATCCTTATTTAAATCAAGTAACTTGAGCTATAACAATTATACGGGTTATCATAAAAAATACGATGATTTTTTTTCTATAACTGAAAAGTTGAAAAAATGGAAGTAAAAACTGACGTTTACTTGCCAAAATGGTGGTCTAACAATTCAAACGACCAAGATCGTCCAAAAAAATTTTGGATCCAAATTAGCTAGAGGTAAGCCTCGGAGCGGTTAATTTTTTCGTAACCGGTTAACTGATCTCAAATTAACCGGTTAATTCTGAAGAAAACGTTTTTGGCAAAAATGATTGAGTTTTATACAGAACAGTAGTAAAATTGATTAGTACTTCATCAAATGTGACTGAAATGTCTTACCAGTCGGCATATTGTAGTTTGGCTCACAAACATTTGTCGTGACTTTTTTGAATTTTTTCTACACCCAACTCGACATTTTTATCTTAAAAAGGCAAAATTTTGTTTAGTAGTATGATAGGCATTCTAGTAAAGGGTCCCCCGTTTGGTGTGCTTTTCCATCGGTTAACCGGTTAATGAACAATTAACCGGTTAAAATAAATTAACCGGTTAACCGCTCTGAGGCCTAGCTAGAGACCCATCAGCAACATTTCAGCACATCTGATTTCATTGTTTCCTTATAACACGACAAAATTGGAAAATTTATGCATTTGAAAAAGCTTGATGCAAAATTTTCAATTAGTTGCCACAAAAAAGTCATTGCCAAATTCTTTTTCAATTAAAAAATTATGAATTTATATCAACTTTGCAAATCACCCAACTCGCAACAAAAGCCGCAAGTTCTGTGCGACTAAGCCGACACGAAATAAAAACAATTGGCTGATAATTAGTTTACAAACAGGAGAGTTTATGACTGGATTGTTTCTCAGTTCCAGGCAAAAACTTTATCTCTAAACCAAACGTGCAGAATAGGTTCAACTATTTGATTTTTTTAGCCATCAATTGATTCAATGATTCTGTTGTTCAGATGAAACTCAGAGAGGAAGCAAGACCCCGTACCACTTGCGACACAACGCAAACAGAACATGCAAAAGTAGCCGATAGAATTCAAAATATATTTTTGATTACAATTGAAAAAGAAGGCAAAAAACAGACCTACCAATAGTTTTACTAGGAATGTCTCAATTTCTCGAATTTGGTTATGAACATTTCCAAGTTAGACAAGTGCCCTTCCTAGTTTTGCATCGAAGCAAAATTGACAAATAAAGATCAACGGTTTTTGAGCAGACAGAAACTTATTTAGCCAAAAAAAGTTAATCATTAAAAAAGTTACAAACTTCCACTCCTTAAACAAATGGAGTCCCTGCTCATCCGTATATTTTATTCTCAGTTCTAATTCAGCGCGTTTTTTCAATCTCCCACGATAATTGATTTCGAACTTGAAAACTTTTTATTGTTGTCATCATGTGATGAAACTATTTTAATTATTTTGAACTTATATTAAGTTAATTATTTCGAAACAAAAAGCAAGACCGCGTTTAGCTGTATTTGCTTGCATAAGTTTTAAGAAATTGAAAATTTTGCGATATGCGGGGAATTGAAAAACCTAAATACTGCTGTGAATGTTTTTCGACATGTTTTCGTTAATAGATCGAAAAAATTATTTCAATTTGCGGGAAATAAGTCGACAAAACAAACATGACCAGAAATAACTTAGTCTCTGTTCAGTTCCCACAAATTGCACAATGTTCAATTTAACAATACTTAAGCAAAAGATTGCAGCCAAACTAGTTTTTTTGTTCAAAATTGGTAACTTGTTCACAATGCAAAATTTTATGAGATTT